AGTTCTTTGCACTCTTCCAAGGAAGCCTGCCTGGCAGGCATGCTTAGTCAGGACAGACAAGAATATACACAGACTTATACCATGAGATAATGAGGTTTTCTGGTTTGTTCTCAGTTCTCTTTCTAATAATCCATTGTGCTTTATCAGCCTCTTTGATGATTGTTGAGCGCTGGGTTAATGTTTTCAGTGTATCAGCCACAAACCCCATTTTCCCTGTGAACAGTCATAGCTAATTAAGAATATTATGACATGCATATAATTAGGGTTATTTTTAGCCCATAGTCTTACTTTGCATCTATCAACACTGGATTTCTTTCAGTGCCACGGTATCTCATCAACAACAATTATCACTCAGTGTCATGAGATCCTAATGAGATCCTATAATCTCCAGCCTCTGTTACCTCATGAGTCACTGTTTCCCAGATTTCATGAATATGTTGAACAACACTCATCTGTGTGGAACTTCGTGTGACCTCTCTCTATTGCATAAACTGACTCTTAGTTCTGTTTTTACTCAGTTATTAAGATGAGACCTCAGTTCCTTTTTTAAGCTTTTTGTAATTATAAGTACACAGAATTAACCAATCTTAATATCACACTAATTCCTTCAAAATGCTCACCAACATACATATAATATGACTTCCTTATGAATATCTGGGTTCAACCTCATGGCTGGGAATTTATGAGCCGGACAAAATTATAAGTAAAAAAATCCTACATTTATCAATATATCCCTCTTACTCATGGCTTTGGGGTCAGTGCAAGCACATCCTTACCAAATAGACTTGGGCACCACAGCTTAAACCTGTTAAAATTTGAGATTTGACAGCGTAAAGTTAAAAAGCAAAACCAGTATATCAGCAGTATATTAAAAATTAGAAAAGTGAAAAATTCCTTTTAAAATGAAGACTTGTAATGAAAATAGGCAGTGCTTTAATATGCTGATTTTTCAGAAGATCAATTTTCTGAGCATATAATGTACAAATAAAACAAAAGATTGGTCTTGGTTGTTATTTCAGAAAGTGTATGTCAGGCTGTATCCTGGCTGGGCTTTCCTGTTAAAAAGCAGCCTCTTGTTAGCACAGTACTAAGAATGATTGCACAGCTAAAGCTGAGGCACAGACCAGCCATTCGTAAATTATTTCTTTTAATATGTCACTGAATTCCTAGAGGAAAACAGCTCCTTTTTAAAAATAGTTTTATTTAATTCTGTTTCTCATTTATTTCTAGAAACTCTGGTTATGCAACAGCGTGGCACAGAGTGGAGAGGGACTCTCTTACCCTCAGCCCAGACTAATCCAAGTGCTGAGCTCTTCCTCTTTCCAGAAACACTAGAGAAGTTTCTATTCTCTTTTGTGCAGTCAGTGAATTCTCCATGGGGATCTCCATCTATCTGGCAGGTCACATTACAGCTCTGCTCTGTAACTGATCTGCCCATTGGTTTCTACAGAAGAAGTGTTGTTGATGAATGACTGCACATGGCGCTGAGAATTATGTTGCAGAGTTGTTACTTTTCAACCAGGGAGCTTTCCTGGGAACTTTCCATGATGTGCTGGACAGCTAAAGAGCTTTGGACAATATGTAGGATACAGCTGCCATAACTCATTGTGACCAGTGAACAGAGAGAGCAAAATGGATAGAGAAGCTGAGGATCAAAGGCACCGGCAGGACACGCATATCTGTGATTGGTGATGAATTTTACTGCATTAGGAAAAGCTGGCTGACTTAAAAAGATGCTAAACCTGCTGCAAGGCATAGCAATAACCCCCGAAGTCAGCGTGCTATGACAACTGCAGTTTCCCTCAACGTGAGACAGCACTGAGTGCGATGCCAAATGTCAGCTAAGCAGATTTATTTTCACTGAGACCACTTTTTCTTGCCCTTGAAGCCTTCCCTATGCTTTCCTCTGAGGTGTAGTTATAAGCAGAGTTGGTAGCACTGCCCTAGAATAGGTCCACATTACAGCTGTGTGGAAAATAATTTTGCTGTTTTCTTACAGTATTTGGCACTCTGCAGTACGGCACCCTTACAAAGATACAAACACCCCGGATTTTAATAAAAAACCCTAAACCATGAGAAAATAAAACTCATCTTTTTATAGCACATAGAATGGCTTCACTTGGAATGGACTTAAAAGATCATCCAGTTCCCACTTTCCTGCCATGGGTAGGGACACCTTCCACTATCCCAGATTGCTCCAAGCCCATCCAACCTGGCCTTGGACACTTCCAGGAATAAGAGAGCCACAGTTTCTGTGGACAAAAATTTTAAAGGTTGATTTGCACTAAATTAAATATTTGATGTCACTAATTATAAATCTTATTTTATTTTAATGTTAGCAATTTTTTTTTTTTTTCTCAAATCATCCTCCTTAATTTTTCTGTAATGTGACAACAAAGCACTTAGGTAATTTTTTTTTTTACAACATATGTTGAGTCAGGAGATTGACTGAAACCAATGTTTTCCTGTAGTGTTTTGGCTACTAAGAATTGTGGTTTTGATATAAAAAATATTTTAAAATTTCCAACCAACTCTAGTATTTATGAAAAATGGTTCACAGCAATGTCCTATGAATTCTTAAAGCAAAGACAGCATCAACAGCAGTTAAACACTGCAGATAAAAGTTGGGTGATAAATGAAATGTCCATTATTTTCTTTATTAATTTAGTTACACAAAGATTTTTTTTTAAAAAAGGAGGATATTGGAACAGATTATCAATAGCTTTTCAGATTGTAGTAAGATGAGGACATCATCCATAGAGACATGTCTGGATCCAGTCTTTGGGATACTGCTTGTCTCCTGCCCTCTGGAAAAATCCTGTGGAGGATGATGAGGAAAGAGCCTTTTTTACCAAAATAAGAAGGGAGGAAGGTTTTCCTTGCTACTGAAATGCCTTAGGAGGAGTGTTAACCCCAGGAGAGTAATGGATCTTGGCTCTGATTCACAGCTTCCATAAACTGCAAGGATGAATATTAGATTTTGAGCTTGGATTCAGATAGTTTCAAGAGAAATTATCCATCCATGCTCTGTAACTCAGTTATGAACTGGTCTTCAAACTCTCCTAGCATTAAGGTCTGAGGTTTTATTTATTTGGATTTCAAAGTCCATTTCTGCTGTTGCTGTTTTGCCTTTGCCTCACACTGCAAGCATCCAAGCGGCCTGGAGGTGCTGGGAAAAGGGGCTTGATCCAACGTCTTCTTTATTTAAGACGGGAAGTGTGCAAGCAGATGATCTATTAATACTGCATTTATTAATACCCTTCTCACACACAGGAACCAAATATCACAAGGCTTGCTTTGAAGCTGGGACTCTCTCACATGAATGGAAACGAGTTTCCAGCTAAGTACAGGTGCCTGCCATATGAGCAGAACAAATCCTGAGACCACGAGGAGCAATTTGATGACTGCTGTGTGCTCCGTGCCCACAGTAGATTCATATCAAGGTGACACTTCCCTGGCTTGGGCCTCCCCTTGTCTCTTTCCAAAGAGCTGTAGATATTTTACTCCTTTTCTTACTTTTTTAAATGTCTGATAGATGTTGTTCTTAAACACTTTTGCAGGTGATTACTGTGGGGAGTTAGTAAGCTTCTTATTCACACCTTTCTGTCCAGCCTCTCTTGACTTGCATAATTCATTAATCCAGAGGAAACGAGGGATCTCACAAAGCCCCAGCCAGCCCCAGAGGGGCTTTTCAATGTTTTAATTTCATGATGGCTGTGGGAAATGCCTGTGTAGCTGTTAAGCATTTTGAGTCCCTTCCCATTCTTTCCCCTGTTAATAGGTGGTTGTGCCACTGAGATGTTCCCCAGGAGGACCCTTAATGTGAAGTATGAGTGCTGCTGCCTGTTGACATGCTGGCTAACAAGGATGACACATCAGACTTAAAATCCCAGGAGTGCCTAAATTTTTGTGGTTTTCAAGTACTATAAATTTTGCTTTCTAGCACAGGTGAGGTTTGAACCCCTAAATGGAAACACTCATGTCCCAGATGTCCCTTTTTTGGTAGTGGGGCCACTGGTAAAGGAAAATACAGATGTGAAAGAAGCCCTGAAGCCCTCAGACCTGCCAAGCTCCATCTGATTTCCCATCACCTCCCCAAAGTGGATGTGTGGAGTCAAGATATGAATGAAGGAGCAAAGTTCTCTGGCTAAATGACACGGGTCCAGTGATGCTGCTCCAAGGCATGACCATCAATTTCTTGGGTAACGTCCACACTTTGCACATTGCAAAGGAACATTCCCAGGTGCTTTAATTTGCTTTTGGTCCTCAGACTGGTCCCTTGCTCACTTTTGGCCTCGGCTCTCTAGCATCCGTCCAAACAGTTTCCAGGCACCATTCGGCAGCCAGCACAGCCAGGGACCATTCCCAGTTGGCAGCCTGGATACAGCTGCTCTGTTTTGGAAAGTGGGAGAGTTTAATGAAAGGATGCAAGCTTTTCTGTGCCAGTTGGCCTCAAGGCCAGAGAATGGTCCAGGCTGCATTTAATATTCTGAAAGAGACACAGCCTCAGGTCTCCTTATCTTTGCCATTAACTTCCTGGGTAGTGAGGGTTTGGCTGTTTACCTATAAAAACGACTTTGTGAAAATGGAGAATGCATTAAGTAATGGTTTCAAAGACTATTTATTATTAATACGGTTCTTTTTAACCTAACAAGTAATTCACAAACTGATCAAGGCTTCCTTGGACAGAGTTTGTGTTCGGAGACATTCACTGATCATTTACAGCAAGAAGCATTCGGCCTCTGGTTTGTTTTCTTTGCTTCCTTTTTGCAGTGGGGACCAGCCAGCTGAGAGATCTGCTTTTGTTTTTCCTGTCCTTGATTTGATGATTGAAGCTTTTCAAACAAAACTACAACACACGGCAAGCATCCACGATGAATTTCTAGATAAATAAACACTTGGGCTGAGGTTATTTTGAAGAACGGCAGTGTCAGTGCCTCCCAACGGCAAATAATAGAGTGAACTGAGCCCAGACATTATTTTTTTTTTTTTTCTGGAGTTGGAGAACTGCTATCCCTCCTGTTAACCTGTGCCTCTCTGTTTCATGGATTTTCTTGGTGCTTCTGAAACACTGAGAAAGACACAGTTAGGGGTGGCTAAGGGGTCAGTCAGGGTCCACCCTGTGAGAAAGGAGACTCTTTGCATTGCCATGTTGCCCAGAAGTGATACGAGGGTCACTCCAGGTCTGGCTGCTCGTGGGAAGGTCAGTCTCTTGCAGGGATGTCCATGCCAGGTGACTGCTCAGCCTTTCCAGCTGGGGATGGCTCAGGAGACGCGCTGGAGGCAGGCTTGCGTTGCCTAAGCATAGCTCTTGGCTCCGTTGCTTGCTCATCTGCGGCTTTGCCTTCCCTCACTTGTTTCCTTAGATGAGTTCCTCTGCCTGCTTATTTGTGTTAGGAAAATTATCATTCTTGTATTTCGGTCTGTGTCGCTTCCTCTGGGCCTGTTTTGTTATTGCACAGAGGGATGTCTCTAATGAAGTGGACGGAAGGAGGAGGACTCAGGGCTTATTTTTATCCTATACATAGGAAGTTGGCCAGAACAGGGAAAAACAGCGCAGAAAGCCCTCAGAGCATTCCCACCCCTTGGGGCTGGAGACAGCAATCTCCATAGACCTTGCTCAAATGTTCCACCGCTGCCCAGGGGAATTTTCTCTGCAGTTTTGCTTGTTTGTTTTTGAAAGGAAAAACGTGTGTTGCTTCCTGCCACAGGGCTGGGTCTTGCTGCTCTACCATTGCTGCCATCCAAGTGTCTTTTATTAATGAATTAAACCTCAGACCACCAGAGAGACTAGAAAAAAAAAAAAAAAAAAAAAAAAAAAAAAAAAAAAAAAAAAAAAAAAAAAAAAAAAAAAAAAGGGGATTTTTCATATGTGTGTTGGTAATGAGACAGCACCTGGTGCCCTGCTGATTGGGCTGGCACTGACATCACACTTCTGTAAAGATGTGAGGGCTGGTCTGAGGAGCCTCAAACCTAAACCAAACAGACAGGATCAGGACAGCAACACAGGGCAGAAATGCAGAAAAATGTCGTGGTTTTGCTGGTACCATGAAGGGAAGGCAATGGATTATCCCAGATGTTGTGGTTTTTTAGTTTCACAGGACAAGAGATGATGTCTTGAAGTTGAAGTGGTGTGGTTTTAGGTTAGACATTAGGAAGAAACTCCTTACTGTGAGGGTGGTGGGGCCCTGGCACAGAGAAGTTGTGGCTGCCCCATCCCTGGAAGTGTCCAAGCCAGGCTGGATGGGGCTTGGAGCAAACTGGGATAGTGGAAGGTGTCCCTGCCCATGGCAGGACAGTTTGAACTAGACAATCTTTAAAGTCCATTCCAAACCAAACCATTCTATGATTCTATGATTCTATGATTCTATGATTCTATGATTCTACGATTCTACGATTCTATGATCAGTGTCTACAATTAGATCATGCCATTATCCTAGAAATTTTGGGAAAGTTGAGGTGCATGTTTTAAGGCAAGGTATTTGCCTTGCATTCCCATTTTCTTTGTCCCATTTAATCCCCTTTCCAGGACACAGTGGCTGTCTTTTCACTTTTTTTTTTTTTTTCCCAGTGGTGATATCCAAGGAGAGGACCAGCAGAGCAGACAGCTGGAGCTCTCCCACGCAACTTCCCTGGCACAGACCGAGCACAGAGGATCTCCCTCCTCTGCTGCTGCTCCTGTCATCCAGCTGGGCTTCAAAAGAGGATGCTCCTCTCCCACGTGCTTCAAAGGGAAACCAGGAGCCACAGAACAATTTACTCCCACTCACAGGGCGAGGGGAAATCCTCTTCTAACAGGGGATCATCCTGTTACAACAAGGATGTCTGGTGATTTATGACATGCTGCTTTAAACCCTCCTTCCCCTCCAAAGAAACACAGGAGACAGCAGAGCTGGAGGGAGATAGGAGAGAGAGCTGACATTGGCAATGCTTGAAATATAGTGTGAGAGCTGGGAAAACCCTTTCTTGCTGTCCTCATTAGCATGACTTAATTAATACTTATAATCTTATCAAGCAGAGGTTGCCATGCAGGAGGATGTGCAGGCTGGAAATCAAAGCTTTAATGAATAGATATTTTAAGACCAAAAAGCACCACTGTAGTTTTGTCTGGCTTCCTGTGTAATTGATGCCAGAAACAGACCTTTTCAACAGAAAAAAAAAAAAAAAATTAATAGGAAGGTATTAGTATTGTGATATTTTTGGGTAATAATTTTAACTATCAAAATTTGAGTGGTTTATTTTGCAAAAATCCAGTGTATATGTACTTGATGGCTTTCATTTTCCCTTTCTGCTCTAAATGCTCTGTAAATCCCAAAGATTGTATGCTCTGTAGGGCTTATGCATCAATTTTCTTAATCTTTTATTCTGGCATTGAATCCAAATTTAAAAAGAATATTCTCAACCTGGGATGAAGAAAATTTTCCTTTTTTGATGTCAAAAAGGTAACTTACTCTTGCAACTTACATTAAATACTGCCAAAAATTAATATCTGTGCCATCAGTTCTGTCATTGTCTCTGACATTTTTATAGTTCTCCCTTCCCATTTTCTTTGTGTTAGCCTTGGCCTGGGTCTTGGAAGTGGTGGCACTTCTTAATCTCAAGAATATTTTGATATCTTGAGGTCTGATGTGGCAGTAAGGGAGGTTCTCCTCACAGGAATTAAGAATAGACAGAATAAACTATCATCCATGGAAGCTGAATGGCAGGACAGCTTGAGTCAGGACCCAAAAAAAAAATAAAACAATGATCCACGTATTTCAGATGTGAAGTGGAGAAGAGAAATCCACCTGAGGACGCACAGAGAAGCAAAAGACAAAAAAGATTCAGTCCATGGTGTGGGCAGTGCACCATGGGGCATCCCAGAGGGAGAGTCAGAAGCAGGACAGATTATCCAAATTTCAGTCATAAGTGGACCAACTCATACAAATGTGAGCTTGCCCACATCCAGATCGGATTATTCCACACTCATTCATATTCTAGGTATTTCCAAGCAAGCATCACAGCCTATAGGATCTCATGCTTATTCAAAAATAGCTTTCAAATATAGAGAAAATCATGATTTTATTCCATATCTAGTCCATCAGTCTCAAAGGTTTTTACTCCAGCACCACTGAGATCTGAATTTGCACCAGAATGTCAAGCACAGGCCATTAACAGGAGATATTTCTCAATGCTAAAGGGAGAGAGAAGTAACTGTGAATTGTAAAGCCACATCCTTACTGGTGGCTATAAATTTGGGTAAACCTCCTCCCCCAGTGATCTGGATTCTCACATGCTGTCTCATCAGGCCATTTCCCTCTCACTTGTGAAATATATTACAGTAGCCAAATTACCAAATGACCTCAATAAATTCAGTCATTCTGCTCTAAGAGAAGATACCATGCTGTGGAGAACAGAGTGAGAATGTTTTTTTTTTCTCTCCAGACTTGCAATTGTTCCCATTGTGTGTTAATTTTATTGGCAGGTGATTTTTTTTCCTCCCTTGCTTGGCCCCAGTTTGAATTTTTTCATTCTGCTTCCCCTGCAAATGCCTTTTCCAATCACTATATTTTAGCTCATATCAACGAAGTCTGTGTGGGGGAAGAGAATAAAGCAGGACAGATCCTCATCTGGTTTATATCTGCCTTGTTAACACATTCCAAGAACCTCTCTGCTGCTCTGCCCAGCTCAGTGCTATGAACACTGGGCATAATCCTACCTTATATTTTTGTAGACAGACTTGCTGATTTGTTTGTGCATGGAAGAAATTCTCCCCTAAGTTATTAGAGGAAAAGCTGAATTTAAATTTGTTGTTGACTATTTTGGTTTTTTGGGTTTTTTTGTTTGTTTGGTATAGTTTGGTTTGGTTTGGTTTGATTTGTTTTGGGTTTTTTTTGGGTTTTTTTGTTGTTTTTTTTTTTGTAAGATAATAATAAAATCATAGAATGGTTTGCATTTGAAGTGACCTCAAAATCATCTGGTTCCAACCCCCATGCTATGGGCAGGGACATCTTTCCCTAGAAGTGTCTAATCTGAAAAAATAAAATATTTATTTTTTACACAGATTCAATTTTACACAGATTAAAAATCAGCCCATCTTCACCTAAAATTCAGCAAACGCTTTTCATTTTCCTGGTGTCTTGACTCCGTGCTCTCAGCAAAGAGCCTGGGGCAATGGCATCTGAGAGGCTCCCAACAGCACCAGAAGTTCAAACCTCTCTGGGCAAAATGTCCTTAAGTTCCCTGAGAAAAGTCTCAGAATGGCAGCAGGGGCAGAAAATGGATAAGAAAATCCCTACTTCAAGTCCCCAAGCTTGTGGGGTTTCTTATGACACTTTCTGAATTTTAATGTAGCTTCTCTGTGAGCAAGCAGAAAGGACTAAAGGTTTGTTTCAATATCCATCCAGACAGCTCCAACTTTCCTGAGGAAACAGGTGCACAAACCCTGTGCTGGCTGAGAACAGAGGAGGTACAATTTCCATAAAAGAAACAAGCCAAAAAACTGTTAATGAAAATGAAATTAGTTAATTTTATAATCAGCTCCTAAGCAGCCAAAAAAAAAAAAAATAAAAAAGAAAACAAAACCAAATCATCAACCACGAGTAGCATCTGTAAAAATCACTGGATTATAGAATCATGGAACGGTTTGTGTTGGAAGAGACCTTAAAGATCTTCCGGCTCCATCCATCACTGCTCTGGTTCAGTGGCAGGTGAATCACCCCCATGCCTGGAGCTCCCCTCGCCAGTGAACCAAGCTAAACATGAACATCTGCTCTGAACTGCTTGGGGATTCTGCTCCTGAAGCAGCTGCAGCAAGACTGACATTTGCTGTTGGGCGATGCTCTCACACCATTCTCAAATGGTCCAAATGCCAAAAGGACACGATGAGGAACCACCACCATAGGAGCTGGAGAGGACCTCAGCCCTGGGTGTCCCTGTGAGCAGGGAGGGTCAGAGCAGGGCCCAGGCTCTGCTCTGGGACCAGCAATGGCACCAGAGGAACGGGCAGGGACTGATCCCAGTGAGTTCCACCTGGACAGAAGAACTGGAGGCAGAACTTTCCTGTGCAGTTACCAAACATTGAACAGAGACCAGAGAGACTATGGAGTCTCCCTCACTGGAGATACTCCAGAAATGTCTGGATGCACTCTGGGATGACCCTGCTTGAGCAGGGAAGCGGGACCAGGTGATCAACTTTGGTCCCTTCCAATCTGACCCATTCTG